ATATGTTTGAAATCAATGCACATATGAAGTGAATCATCCTTCTTAGGGACCATGACTACATTGGCTATCCACTCGGAGTGGTAGATTTCACGGATGAAATCTGCTGCCAACAGCCGAGCCATTTCTTTGCCAATTGCTTTCCTCTTTTGCACGGCGGACCGCCGAAGGTGTTCTTTGACGGGTTTTACCTTGGGGTCGACACACAAACGGTGCTTAGCCAGTCCCCTGGGTACACCTGGCATGTCAGAGGGTTTCCATGCAAAGATGTCCCAGTTCTCACGGAGGAACTGGATGAGCGCTTCTTCCTATTTGCTGTCGACTGTTGTTGATATATGAGTCGGTGCAGCATTGGGATCGGTAGGATGAATATGAATCGGCTTCTTTCACCAGTCGACTGAAATGCAGAGTCTGTAGCTGGCTTCTTGGCTCGGAGCAAATCACTCAAATCTGCATTCTTCTGATAATCTTGGAATTCAACTGCTGCCATCTGCGCATCGGCAATTTTGGAACCTTTCTGGAAACATTCCTCTGCCTTCTGTCGATTGCCAGTAACTGTGATCACACCTTTGGTGCCAGGCATCTTCAGCTTGAGATACACATAACATGGTCGAGCCATAAAACGTGCGTAGGCTGGCCTACCTAGAATGGCATGATAGGCACTCTGGAAATCCACGACTTCAAATGTCAACTTCTCCTTACGGTAATGCTTGGAATCACCGAAGACCACGTCGAGGGCGATCTGGCCGAGTGATTCAGCTTTCTTTCTAGGGATAACACCATGAAAACTCATGTTGCTCTCGCTAAGTTTGGACATCGGAATGCCCATCCCCTTCAAGGTTTCAGCGTAAAGGATGTTCAACCCACTGCCACCATCCATCAGTACTTTGGTCAGTCTAGTGCCCCCAACCACGGGGTCGACCACCAGTGCTTGCCTCCCAGGGGTGGCTACACGAGCAGGATGGTCAGACTGGTCGAACGTGATGGCTGTTTGAGACCATCTCAGGTATGTGGTCATCGTCGCCGGAGCGGCAATATTCACTTCTTTGTTGATGACCTTCAATCGACTCTTGCTCTCAACATCAGCAAAAATCATCAGAGTTGAACTTCGTCGACTGGACTCATGGATCCGCTCCTGAGTGCGCTCGTCGAGAGCACGCTGAAGGTTATCCAGTCGAGTGCGCTCAGGCAAATTGGCTAGACGCACCTCCTCCAAGGCACGAGCCTCGATGGTTTCTCCAATGATGGGCGTGTGGAGTGCATCCATGTTGCGGCGACGAAGTTCTTCCCTCTGCTGTGAAGAGAGGGATTCGAGTCGGTATTCCTCGTGGACGCGCGACGGATCGCCGCCTCCGTCTCTGCCGCCCTCATGGCAAAAACTAGGCGGACCGTGGGGACCGTCGACCATCAAGACTTATGCCGCAGGGTCGCTGCTATCGCACTCGGATGCGGTCTTCGCGGAGCCAGTCGACAGATCGAACATGCCGTGGAGGGTTTCGTCGGGCTCGATTGCCGCGACATGATGGGTGGCCGAACGCCGAGCCACTACGTGCTTCACCCACCGCTGGATCCGCGATCGACCGGATCGCTTGCGGCGGCAAAAAACGGGGAGTGAAAACACAGGCGGAGCCGACTGATACTGAGTCGACGGCTGCCGGAGAAGGACGCCGCAAACGCACGCACGGAAGTGCATCGCCTCTCGAACGGGGATTGCCTCAACGTCCAGGGGAGCTTCTTGAAGCCACGCGGAGTCGTCGACGACGAAAACGGGCGCGCCGAGACGGATCTCGCGGCCCTCAGCCAGTCCGCCGCCGGAAACCATGATGATGATGATCAGTAAAACTTGCAACTTCAGCAACAAGTCGCCAAGACACCTTCCCCACGGTGGGCGCCAACTGTCGTGGTCCTAAGACTGACAGTAGAGAGGGGGGTAGGTATGGAGAGGCAAGATCTCAGCTATGGTAAAGGTGTACACACGAGATTTACGACTTCAGGCCCATCACAGTGGAAGTAACAGCCCTACGTCTCGGTGCCTGGAGGCGGTCAATTGGATTATGTATGTGATATTACAGGGGGTGCGGACCCTTGTCCCAGAGGAGGGGGGGTGGCTTATATAGAGTGCGCCAGGACCCCCGCCCACCTCCATTACAAGGGGCTTAATGTACATAAAGTAAGTGGCGTTACTGGTAACGCCAGCCTTAAGTGCTGTTAATGCTTATAAAGACTACGGAGTGAACGTCCGGCCGTTGCGGTCCCTTCTGACTCCTGGTCTTCGATAGGTCGAGTGACTCTCTGTATGGTCGAGTGACGGTAGGGAGGAGGACCTCCGAGTGACCTGGCCGTCGAGTGGATTGCACTCGACGTATTCGACCGACACTCTCCTGTTGTCTCTTGGTCCTTTTATCTTTCAGGGTAGTGACCTTGGATAGGACGTATTGGTCAGGCCTATGACCCTACCCCAGGTCTGTATCCTCATCACTGAGCCTCTTACAATAAAATAGATGTGTGCAACTCATCTTCATGGAGACGTGAAGTTCAAAATCGATTATACCTATTGATTTATTATTAAAAAAATGCATTATTTGGAGAGAAATGGCAAACATCCCAGGAATAGATAGTCAACCAAACATATGAATTGTTTTTCTCCTCTTCCCGACAAGTAACTCCAGCCAATAGTTTTACACGCCTCCTGCAGGTGCCACCACCGATCTGGCTCGCCTCATTTGGTCTTTGGGCCATGGAGGCCGAGCGGATCCCGAATCCTGCTTCATTTTATTAGGTGTTTTTTAGTTTGTTTAGGGTTTGCGTTTTGCTCAGGAAGTGAGCCGTGGTGGCTCGCTGAAAATGAAATAAGGTTCTCCTCGTCTAGCCCTGGTTCCAGTGGTTGCATCTAGCATCATTAGATGGTGTGTCTCATCTTGCAGGATTCAGTTGGTGTTTGTATTTGTGAATCTTTATGAATCTGGTATTCGTTCATCCGTCTGCATGTGTTTACAGGTTGGATATTTTTTATGTATGCTTCTTTTTATCGGCAACGGTTGTTGTTCTGGTATGTTGGTCCTTTGGGGTCTTCGCATGATGACTTTTCGACAGTCTACTCCAACAAGGTTTGTCTGACTCCCATAAGGGAGGCGCAATGCCGGCGGCGTGCATTCGGCTCGCTCAATTGCTTGTAGTCGTCGGTAGGTGGTCTATGGACATGGATATTCTTTATGTTACCTTTAGTGTTCTTTTTGTACTATCATAATGTTTGATGAATAGACTGAAAGTTTTCCTCGCAAATAAGAACATCCCGGGGATAATAAAATATGAACACTGAAAATGTCTGGTTATACTTCCACACCACCAAACAAAATCAATTAATATACAACACAAGTACACAACCAATTGTAGGTATCGTCCCAAAATACTGGCTAAACCTAAATTTTTGCTATTACCCCAAACCTAACAAATACCATTACAGATCACCAGAATTGTAGTAACATATGTACCATTTCCCTTGTGTGCTCCGGCGACTCGGGTGAAGCGTGTGGCGCATGCAGGGAAAGGCCATGTCGTATGTTCTCGCTGACTCTGCACTCACCGCCCAGAGACGTACATGGTCGTTGCTGCTTCGATTTTAATTTGGATGTCGGCCTTTTGAATTCCGTGTGCATCTTCTCAGAATGTCTACACGCTTGGTAGTACGTGCTGGACGGTGGGGAATGCAGTCGCCTGACAGTCCTTGGGAAGCATCCGGTGAAAAAGTCTAGCCGGTGTGATCTACTGGTGGCTTTGCCTGTTTGACTTTAGATCATGTTAGTACTACTGTACTACTTTATTTAATTACTGACAGCTGAACAACACCTGCATTGGTAAATGCCTATCCTTCACAAACTGTATGCTGCTTTTTCTGCAGCAATTCCCATTGCTATTTTCTGAAAGCTGTACAGAACCTAGAAGAATCAATAAGGGATGCTTTGCAAGAAATTATATTTGTGATCAGAAGTGCTAATATGTTGGAAAAACATCAAGACCGCAGGAGCATTTTTCCTTTTTATGTTTTCTGTGTCTTTGTGTTTTCTAAGCGGATATAGTGTGTCAAGTGTCAACAAGGCATCACTGGACAGATACTAATCTTTAAGTGTATGCCTTATGGTTGAATATACCCGTCCAGTTTTGAGTAGATCTAGAAATTAGACCCACAAGAACTCCACAGCAAGGGGGCCTAAAACCCTCTCCATGTCATACCATAAACCATCGTTCGACTCCCTAGAAGGCCAGCTTAGTTTTGTGAGATGACACCTTGGGGAAGCTCAGATTTGTCGCACATCCCATAATAGAACTACTCCAGTTAGTCAATTGCAAACTTAATTATTCCCACTTTAGCTTTGGTTGAAGCAACTTTTATTCAATTTATGTACCAAACTCTTCATTAACCAGCCAATCACATCTAGTTCATCATATGTTTGACGAATCCAACACAATGCTGTGCTAGATCTCGTTTGTGCTTCACACACTGGAACCCCACTAGCCCATTCGATCACCCGTAGTCTATATAAGTGCACACCATTTCAAACACAGCACACACACTCACTCAATTGAAAGAAACCACTAGAAGGAGAAGACCATGGGGCGACTAGCAAGGAGGGCTTATCTCCTAGGCTCACTAATAGAAGCTTTCTACCTCATCTTAGCAGTCTCCCCGGTAGCAAGTGACATGACCGACAGCCTCGACCTGCTGTGGGGCGACACAAAGGTAGAGTACGATAGTGGCGGCCGCCAAACCGTGTCCCTGTCCCTCGACCGCTGGATGACCTCAGTGTTCCGCTCCAAGAGCAAGCACCTCTTCGGGAGGTTCGACATGGACATCAAGCTCGTCCCCGGAGACTCGGCCGGCACCGTCACCACGCTCTACGTAAGTGATCCAGAAATGAACCAGCTGCTAGAATTCATGTCACTCATGTTATTGGAATATATATATGTATCCTCGGGTTAACCATTAGTTGGTTGTGCTGCTGCAGATGCTGACAGAGGGGCCATGGGAAGAACACGATGAGGTCGACCTCGAATTCCTGGGGAACAGCTCCGGCGAGCCATACACCTTGCACACAAACATTTACGCCAGGGGAAGAGGCGGCCGGGAGAAGCAGTACCGGCTTTGGTTTGATCCCACTCAAGATTTCCACACCTACTGCATCCTCTGGAACCCAAAGGAGATACTGTAAGTTTCCCTCTTGCTATCCGGCTAATATAACTAGTTCTTCGCAATTTCCTGCATACATATGTGGTGCTAGTAGAGCAGTTTTAACTTTTAACATGGTTCCTCTTACCTCATCTTTTCACATGACAGTTAAGAGTATATAATATTTCGTTGATTTCATTAAGTAGTGGGTCTCATTCTAAAAGTGTTGTGATTGTGGTAAGCAACTCCGGAATTTAAAAGCACTAATTAACCCCAAGTCACCTCCATATGCAGGATACTTGTCGACGGCATACCGATCCGGCAGATGAAGAACCAACAAAGAAAAGACATCCCTTTCCCATTGTACCAGCCAATGAGGCTGTACAGCAGCATCTGGAACGCCGAGGACTGGGCGACGCAGGGTGGGCGCGTCAAGACCGACTGGTCCCAGGCGCCGTTCACCTCGCTCTTCCGTAACTACAGCGTCGTCGCCTGCGTCCCGCAGAAGACCGCCTGGATCTGTGGCCGAGGATCTAGTGACAGCAGCTGGTTCACTCACGTCTTGGACGAAGAGGGGCAACGAAAGCTCAAGGAGGTGGATGAGAAACACAAGATTTATGATTACTGCGTTGACTCGACGAGGTACCCTAATGGGTATCCCTCGGAGTGTGGTTCGCAGTAGGAGTGGTTACCATAGTGCTTACAAAGAGCAAAATGAGTATCAATGGATTCGATCAGTTGCTTCTTTCCTAGTTTGAATAGTACCAAGAGGGAAAGGGGTATTACATGGGGGCTTCTTCTAATAGGCATAGTGTACCTTGCTTACATGGACTTTTTTTAAACAAATGTTAATTTTTTAATATTTGGTGACACTTTTAGTATAAAAAGAACATTCTATAAATACATGATCATTTGTTACAAAAATGTTCTTGCATTTTATTCATGTTTTTTTTATAAAATGTGCAAGCTAGTTAAAAATGTTCAGGTAATTTTAAATTATTTCACACTTCCAAAACAAATGTTCATGTACTGAAAAATGTCAATGTTTTCTTTTGTGCTCTTACATAAAAATGAAGATCCGATCAGAGCAAATAGAAAATAAAACAGTGAAGTAGAGCCCTCGATAACCAGGAGATATGGCACCACATTCTGAACTGTGGCCCGAGCCCGTACGCACATCCGTGCGTTTCATCGACTGTTTGACTCACGAAGCATCAAATATGATTGATCACCTTTCGTAAGGAAAAATAAAATGATCTTACGTTTGCGAGGGCCAAGAGGATTCGTGTGCAATCAAGGATCGTTGACATGTTGTTTGTCCTCCTGAAGTTACTGAACGCATGCACAGACTTTCTCGAGTAACAGTGGTTTACGAGACAATGCTTGTGTTTTTTAGTCTTCTCTTGACAAAGGCATTGCTTACTGTTTGTTGGACGGGATCTTAATGCAAAAACTCATCTTCTGGTCTTAAATTATTGGATTGGGCAACAACAACAACAACAACAATTGTTGGAGGGTTTTTTTTTTTTGGAGAACTAATCTTGCAGTTCATGTTTGTAAGGTGATGATGTGTGTTGATGCTTACAGTGGACCACCTTTGCTCTTTTTCTCTTCCTATAATTTGATTGCATGCATTTTTGATATGGTGACCCCATTCAACGTCAGGAACTATCCTATCAATACCAAATGATATAGTGTATTATTACCTTTATATAAAAATAACTATAGGGTCCAGGAAAAAACTATAGGGTGACGGCCGGTGCCAGAGCTATATCTCGCTCTTTGTGAGATAGTAGCTCGTCTCGCCTTTGGCATTAGCACAAGTGGGCTGGCCCATGTCTGTTCCTGTGGTTTTTCAAGGAGCAATTTTGGGAAGCATCTATGAACCAGTTCCAACTAGTTTTAGAAGCTTCTGTGCGGTTTTTCCATTTTTCCATGCTTTCATAGATTTTAGTGGTTTTTCTTTTCTTTTTTCTTTTTTTCATTTGTTTTTTATTATTTCCTCATTAAATACATGCGAACTTTTTTCAAATATACGTTGAACATTTTTCGTATATAGGTTCAACTATTTTTAGATAAACGCTGAACATTTTCTCAAATGCAAGTTGAACATGTTTCAAATACACGGTGAACATTTTTTAACACACATTGAACATTTTTTGTAAAGGACATAATTTGTTAAAATGTTTAGAATATATGTTCAAGTGTTAGAGCATTTTTTTTCAAAATGTCACGAACATCTTTTGGAATGGTATGAAATAATTTTGTAAAATTACACAAATATTTATTGTATGGGTCATTAGATCGAGGGTGCAGAGCCCTCAGCATGTTGTCCCTCGGCTGCCAGTTATAAGCCCATATATTCGTCATTGGTCCATTACCAATGCGACGGATTTGCCCTTGCTACAACACTGATTCGCCTTTTTGTAACACTCTCCACACTTGTGTTGGATGTGACCCGCGCTCCGCACTCAATAGCTCACCTGTGGGGAAGTAAACAACTTTCAAAATCCTCGTGCTAAGAGAGCTCGGCTCCTGAATCAACCTCCAGGCCTACTTGGCTAGCATGGCAAGATTGAACGATGGAGTATTTCTAAATTCCAACCCGCCCATGTATTTTGGTATGGGACAGGCTACACATCAATCGCCTGAAAAACAGAAAACGGTTCAGTCGATCCTCCTTCTCCTGTATCAACCGTTCGATCAAACTTCAACCTCCGACATATCTTCTTCCTCTCTCTCACCCGCCGATCCAGCCCAGCCCTAACCGCCGACCCCCGCCGCCCGCGGACGGCGGCGCTTCCGCGACCGCCTCGCCGCCCCGCCCTCCCCTGATCCACCTCCACCGCCGGTCTTCCACCGCCGCCGGCCATCCCTCTAGGCCCCCGCGCCGATGTGTTTCTCCGGCGAAGTCCCACACCACCGCCCCACCACCACCCCCACCACCACCGGCCACCACCGCCCCCACCATAAACCCTAAGATAGATACTGGGGTAGCCTGCCCAGCGAGCTTCTTCCTCCCCTCCGGCGAGTTTCTTCCTCCTCTGCACCTTTTTCTTCCTTCAACCAAAATCGATTGACCCAAAATTCGAAAGTCGGGCGATTGACATGTAGCTATTGTGTTTTGGTATAGTAAGAACATCCCAGGAGACCCATGCCACCTTCGTCTTGCCATCCTTGCTACCCAATTTTTCTTATGGAGCATAGTATCTATTTGCTGGCATAATCCCCTCGGGAGTAAGAAACAGTTCATGGCATACGTGGTCATAATCCCCTCACACGCGTCTTTTAGGCGTAGCCTCTGCAGCATGATGCCATTATTCGTCCAACAAGAGGTCTCCGCACCTACGCCCACCGGCCGTCCGGTAGAACTCGTCGGGCTAAGAAATGCACTATCAATTTGGTGGCCAATTGCGTCACATGGCGAACAAGTTGTTATCAGCCTGCAGCGGGAGCCCATCATGGTTGCAAGAAACGGCTATGACCGGAGAGAGTCCTCGTGATACCACGGAATCGTGAATCTTTCGGCCTCTCCTTGAAACATTATATATTTTTGAACTTAAATTAGATTTGTTTGTAAGTAAATAGATCACCAATAGAAGACAAGCATATTTATTCTTTTGTCCAACTTAATTTGATGTGCCCCTAGAAAAAGAGAATTTCGTGCAGGATCGATACATCAAAAAAATAATAGTTCTACATGAGCATTTGTAACACTCCATGACATTGGGTAGGGTAGTTGGTGACTTTGGTCATTTGGCAAGCATCACACACCCAATCATCATGTACACTCGATCGTGATATTATTAGCGACATATCAGGTGGTATACTGGTATCCACAGTACCATAGGGCATTATCCACAGTACCATAGGGCTATTATTTCTAGAAAAACCATAGGTTGTCCCCCGACATGGAAATCGTTGATACCCATTTTCAATTATTAATCTAAAATTCAGATTTATATTCTTTACAAATGCACAATAATCAAGAGAATTAATGTGAAATATACACATTCATGTACTATCCATACCCCGAGGTAACCTTTAAAAAGAAGACACATCTAGACCGATCAATCAACTTAACAAGGCTAATTAAACAGGCACAATGTGTATGCCGTCAGCTGCATTGACTGCTGCAGCTGTGTCATCCAGAGGCTGACCTTGTTCTATCTCCCCAGTAATCTCCTCAAGAGATTTTCCCTTAGTTTCCGGCAATAGAAAAGTGAACACAATGCCAACTAGATTGCAACCAACAAGGACAAACAACAAGGTCCTGAAATGGCACCTCAAGACGGAGAAGGCTAACACGCCGAAGATGGCACCGATCTTCCCGACCGCCCCCGATATGCCATGGCATGTGGAGCGCAACCGTGCCAGGAAGAGTTCAGCTGGAAAGATGAAAGTTGTAGTGTTTGGCCCAAAGTTCGCGAAGAAGAAGATGAAGCCATACATGACGGCGAATCCATATTTGTTGTTGTTGCATTCTAACCATTTATTATTGGGGATGGCAAGGCAGAGCTGAAAGACTGTCATCATGGTGAAGCCGAGCAATTGGATTTTCACACGGCCTATGCGATCAATGAAGGCGACCGCGAAGAAGTATCCTGGCAATGTACACCCCGCTGCGATGGCCATGTGCACTGCAGTGATGTCGATTGTTCGCTGGAACGGATTGTCGGCTTTATAATACCTAGCCACTTCACAAGTATTAACCTTACAGACTTTGTCATCATGACCTTTAAGCAGCCCAACTGTAGTAAAGATGTCCTTCATACAGAGGTTGAGGGAGTAGAAGGTGACGTCAAGGACGAACCAGCAAACGGTGGTACCCAGGAGATGGAGCCCATGTCGTTGGCGAAACTCCGAGGAGAAGAGGCCATACTGGTCGTGGCAACCGAGATTGTCTTCTTCTGGGACGATGTGCATGCTGAGGACTGCGGACATGTCCGCTGCAGCCATGTTTGTGTCCTTGGCTATGAGGGCCGTGTACCATGCTGTCTCTGGCATCTTCATGCGCCAGTAGCATCTGGCGATGATTTCCTGAATGCTTGTGATGTGATCATGCCAACGAGCCCCGCCACAACATTTCCCAAACCCTGGAATTAGTTGGAAATAAAGTGTGGTTATATTACAATTGATACATTTCATGTGCGGTGAGCTAAGTAGCGACACGGCGCGGATCGTGTGTTGTTGGGCTAGCGGCCCATTTAGACATCAGCTCGGCTCATTCCCGCAACCCATGGCGTGGTGTGGCGCGCGGGCGGCGGCGAAGCGCGCGTGAATGTCCCTCTTGTTATCATGCTCATACATGTGGGGAAACAACCTCCCTTATAAGGAGGTCCAACTCTTACCAAACTAGCAATGTGGGACTAAACTTTGGTTCCATCTCTTGCCTTGCACAAATGGGCTGAGTCGGCCTCTAGCATCTATTAGGAATTTCTGAAATTGCTATTGGGCTAGCTCAAACATTGATTAAATTACAACAAACAGATCACCGATCAAAGACCGGCATAGTAATTCTTTTGTCCAACTGAATTTGGTGTACCCTAGAAAAACCGAATTTGCTGCAGGATCGATACATTAGAAAATACTTGCTCGACAAGAGCATTTCAAACACTTCATGACTTTGGGTAGGGCAGTTAGTGACCATGGTTTTTTGGCAAGCATCATACACCCACTCATTATGCACACTTGAGATATGGTTAGGGACACATTGGTGGTATCCACAACAATGTTGAGGATATCGCTTATCGTTAGCGTCTGGGTCAGCTAGAGATTAGAGATTAATCGGAAACCGGCCGATTAATTGATTTTATTGGTCGACTATTAATCGGACATTTTTTTTGCAAATCCTAGGTCCTCAACACTAAAATAACATATATTCAACACCAAAAGATAATTTGACAGAAGTGTTACCATGATTCCTAGCCTTTGGATCTTCGTATAATGACAAACAGAATAGGACAACAATACATATCGCGTAACAAGGTCCATAAAACACAAATAAACATACTTTTTACAAACATAGTGCTATGAATAGGTCCGATTTATCAGTAGATTCCTGATAAATCGCTTGTCAGAGCGATATATTGGTCCAAAAGATAAACGGTGAAGATAAGGCATAATCTTATCGGTCACCCCATGAGTAGAGACAAATCGAAAGATTAATCGCTGAATCGGAAGATTTCTTGAACAGTGATCCACAGTACAGTCGGGCATTATCGTTCGCTCGTCCGACACCTCCAGATTCATCTCGTGTCGAGATTTATGGCTATTACTTCTAGAAAAAAACCATAGGTTGTTCCCTGACATGAAAATCGTTGATCCCCAGTTTCAGTTATAAAGCTCAAATTCCAATTTATATTCTTATACACAATAATCAAGATAATTAGGATGAAATATACACTTTCATGTACCATCCCCAAGGCAACCTATTGAGTACAAGACACATCTAGATTGATCAATGAAATCAACAAGGTTAATTAGACAGGCACAACGTGTATGCCGTCGTCTGCGTTGACCGTTGTAGCTCCATCATCCAGAGTCTGACCTTCTTCTGTCTCTCCAGTAATCTCCTCAAGAGATTTACCCATGGTTTCCGGCAATAGAAGAGTGAACATAATGCCAACTAGATTGCAACCAACAAGGACAAACAGCAAGGCCCTGAATTGGTTCCTCAAGAAGTGGAAGGCAAACACGCCGACGACGGCGCCGATCTTCCCGACCGCCCCTGATATACCATGGCATGTGGAGCGCAACCGTGCCGGGAAGAGTTCTGCTGGAAGGATGAAAGTCGTAGTATTTGGCCCAAAGTTGGCGAAGAAGAAGGTGAAGCCATACAGGACGGCGAATCCATATTTGTTTCTGTTGCATTCTAGCCATTTAGGATAAGGGATGGCAAGGCAAAGTTGAAAGACCGTCATCATGGTGAAGCCGAGCAATTGGATTTTCACGCGTCCTATGCGGTCAATGAAGGCCACCGCGAAGAAGTACCCTGGCAATGTACATGCCGCTGCGATGGCCGTGTGCACTCCAGTGATGCGCATCGTTCGCTTGAACTGATTGACGGATTTATGATACCCTGGCGCCACAGGTGGGCTAGCCATTTGACAATATACCTTACGAAGGTCATCGTCAATGTCAAGCAGCCTGACTTTAGTAAGGATGTCCTTCATAAACATGTTGAGGGAGTAGAAGGTGACGTCAAGGACGAACCAGCAGACGGTGGTGCTGAGGAGGTGGAGCCCGTGGCGGCGGAGGAACTCCGAGGAGAAGAGGCCATATTGGTCCTGGCTGGCGAGCTCGTTGACGCCGTCTTCTTCGGGAACGATGTGCATGTTGAGGACAGCAGACATGTCTGACGCGGCCATCTTTGCATCCTTGGCAATGAGGGCGGTGTACCGTGCTGTCTCGGGCATCTTCATGCGCCAGTAGTAGGTGAGGAGAGCAGGAACGGCACCAAACATGAGAACAATGCGCCAGACATAATCAATTTTGTCTGGCGATGAGTTCACGAAGGCTGCTGATGTGATTGTGCCAACGAGCCCCGCCGCAACGTTTCCGAAACCCTAGAATTAGTTTGAAATAAAGTTTGGTGAATGTAGAATTCACATACACGTATGTAAGTCAAGTGAGGCAGGGAGGCCATAATCCTCTTCCTTTATAAATCTAAAAATATACAAGATTCTTACTTGCATCGCGAAAACAGCGGCCATGAAGGCACCGCGTGTCCTCTTGTTAGCATACTCAGACATGATGGTGGCCGATAGCGGGTAGTCGCCGCCGATGCTGAAGCCGAGCCAGAAGCGGAAGAAGCAGAGTGTGATCAGGACGCTTTTGTTAGTGCTCTTGCCGAAGGTGAAGCCGGAGGCGAGGGAGCAGAAGACCATGAGGAGCAGAGTGACGCCATATATGCGCTTCCGGCCCATCTTGTCGCCGAGCCAGCCGAAGACGAGCTGCCCAGGCACAGTGCCGCAGAGGGAGACGGCGTTGATGAGGACGGGGATAAAGTTTCCTCTCCGGGCATCTGGGTTGTACCTGTGGTCGATGAGGTCGGCGACAAGGGAGATGGTGAAGAGGTCGTAGGCGTCGGTGAAGAAGCCCATGCCGGCGATCACGATCGCCATGAAGTGGTACAGCTGCGTCCTCGCCACGTCCAGTGCCTGCAGCACCCTCAGCTGCTGGTTGCGAGCCATAGTGGTTCCTTGCTACTCTCCTGCCGTTCGGTGTTGTTGCAGTGATATTCTTCCCGGTAGATATCTACTCCTATATACAATGGCCCAGTCCCACATGAAATGGTACGTTGCTATCACGCAGTTAAGGTTTAGTTCAATTATTAGTGTTGTGGTGCTACTAATAATTAGTTTGTTTCCCTAAGACAGTTCATGGTCTTACTACTTAGTTTATTTCCTATAAGACAGTTCATGGTTGTCTCCAAAGGGACATATGTTGCTCTGCATGTGTTGCCAAGATGTTAGAATATGATTGTGCACCAAGACACTAGCATAAGGTTAACTGCAAAAATCCGAGACCATGTTGGATGTGTAGCTGCATCGTCCAGATGGCCACAAAGTTTAGAGGAATAAATATTTGAGAAACGGCCGAAATCTTATGCAAACTCATGAAACAGAAAATCTAAAAGAACTCATGAAACTGAAAGACTAATGGTGAATGTATTCTTGACATTGTGGAAAATAATATGTCACTGGAATCCTATATATCTAAGAAGGTCATCCTCACTAACTCATTTATCTCAACATGCAAGCATGTCACCTCATCATATAATTATAAATGGGATAAGGCCCACCTCAACATGCAATCTTGCATGTGAAAAAAACCACCACAACATTCAACCATACATGGGAAAATGTTTTCCATTCAGTTATTCTACTTATATTCAATAAATATTTTACAATTATACATAATCAAATATAATAAGTCATATGTATTTTTAATTTTAGTTTGCATGCTGGAACCAAAAATTTCATCAATCAATTCTCGGACCAACGTGTGGGGTATCCTCTAGTACTATTTAACCAGTGGATCTACTGAAAATTACGTACTTGATCTTTATAATATATGTGAGCGACGAAGTTGGCAGGAATCTGCGGCCGGTCGAACTTCGTACGTACGAACCACGAAGTCTAGCTTGGACGGCAGGAACCAACTAGTAATAATTATTATTTTTCTGTTCATCCATGGATGAAATGATTGGTGCAACTGGAGAATATATTAGAGGGTGTGTAACACACTGACGCGACATGTTTGAGGTCACACGCGTCTTAGGGTATATCCTCTGGAATCTGGTGCAGATTCCGGTTCCGTTAGACTGATATTACCTATGTAGTTGACTGCAACTTGCAAGCGATGGTGACTGCGGACCACGGAGACCAGCTGCGACCGAGAACACCTCCTGTTGTACGGTAGTGCAGCCCAGTGAAGTTGGAAACTAGTGTGCATTGAGCTGGAAGCTTCCTAAACATACGACCTTTTTGGAGTTTAATACTAATAGAGGGAGTAGTAGTTTTGAAGTTAAAAGATGGTGTTTCTGTTGACAAAGGCACCGCCGCTCGCCGGAGTAATGAAGTCGCCAGTGCCGGAGCAGGAGGTAGATGGTCGAGTTGAGGCGAAGGACCAAGGATGCCGAAGAGTGCGATGTGTTTGCTATATCGCCAGCGAGGAAGAGTAGAATATGAAAGACAGACCGGCCCACTTGTAACACAAGGCCCTGCCGCCTCCCAAGCCGTACTCATTCTCGGCGGAGTCTGCACCTGTCCGTCGCCGGTGGGCGTGAGGTCCACGATGGAAATGGAGGGGCCGACACCGTCATTGTCCCATCGGCAGGGTCAACCAGTGTTTGGGGGCGCGTAGGATGCACCGCTGGCGGCGTTCTCGTCCACACTCGCCTGTGCAGCTAGCTCCGCCTCCACGCCGAGCTGTGTAGCTTGTGCGTTGCAACGGCGGCTTGAGCGCGGGCGGCCTCGTAGAGCGCCTCGGCGATGAAGTTGTGGTTCGCCGCGGCCATGGCCGCCACGGCTTCCTTGTTCGCTCATTGTAGATCTGGCCCTCCGTTGGCAGGTGCTGCTCGAGGAGTATCAGGTTGTACCACTGCTCCTCCTGTGCTTGCCATAACAGCAAAATAGGCACGGGTGTGGGCTTATCCTCAGCCATGGAGGCGTTAAAGTGCGCCTATGCCTACTCCATCGTCAAGCCGACATGCATTGGCGCGGGATCCGGCGCAATCGTCGTCAGAGCCAGTCTCCATCATGGGGTCAACATTGAAGACCTCAGAAGAGCTAGCCGGCATGCCGGCCTCTATCCGCCTGGTATGGTGGATCTTCCATGCGAGCGCATGGGGAGGCCACCTCATGCTTCATCTCTGTTGATAGGCTCTCCCACAGAGCGTTCCCGCTCGCGGTCATGGCGGATGTGGTGCACGGAAGGAAGATGTGGAGCAGATAAGTGCTCGTCGTGGGGTGTGGCCGTCTATAAATAGTGGATGCCGGTGAAGCCAAGAGTCCTGATGCTTCAATGCATGGGCGCCAGAGTTGGTCTCTCGTCCGACGAGCCCATTTAATAGCTGCAGATGAAGGGATGGGTATTGAATGGGCTTGATAGATATATGTCCCGTCCCATCCAGTAAACTTCTCTCCTACATTGAACATGCATGGAGACCCGGGACGCAGTGCAGACGGTGCCCTCGGCTGCTGAGCCACTTGAATGCCATCTGCTTTAGAGCGGCATGAATGTGGGCACCTGCTATGAGGGGGAACGCATGCGGGAGAGTGCGATGGTTTTTTCGTGGGCCATCTTAGTTAGACACGCACATGGTAGCGGTCCGGACACCCGCAAACCTCCATGCCCCACCTTTGTCTTCGGTTTGTGGGATAAGGTGCATTCGGACTGCCGAACGGACCAATGCAGGACCGCGTCGAATGGCGAAACACGTCCGGACCGTGCGGTCCGGACGGTTGTGGATATTTTGAGGGTTGACATTGGAGATGCCCTTAGTATTTGTGAGATTATTTTGAATGGCATATGACGCGATTTGGCCTTGGTGCTATTGATTCCTAGCATCCGCTTCATTGCAATATCGAAAGAATCTTTGTGAAATGTCCTTCCTCCTATTGTGCCCGCCCAGTATGCTCCTGTTCCATTTCCATTATTAACTTCTTTTCTGTCATTTATGTATATATTCCTATTTATGTTTACTTTTGCTTTTCATCTCTCTTAATCCATTTCAGTTCATTTTGTGTTTGCTCTTTTTCCTATTGTAGATTCTTATTAAGTTCAATAACAATAATTTAATAGTTTTTGTATTCACCAATCCATATAAATTATTTAGATGATAATTTTGGATGTTTCTTTACATTATTTTTGTGAAACATTTGCATTTGGTTACATGGAGAATTTGAAAATACACAAACATAATTCATGGATCTAGAACTGTTTTGTTTACTAAGTGTTTTATCTATTGAAACAAAATTCACAAGTTGAGTTATAATTTTTTTTATTCATGCATGTTTCATTTGATATACATATTTTTTCATAGATGATGGAATATTTAATAAAATACATACGAAACAGTTTTTATTAGTTCAAAAAATGTAGAAGTCACGTGAACCTATTTATTAACATATGTGGATATTTTATGTCACCTATATAAAAAAAGTCATAGCGCATGAAACAGATTTCAAAATTATTTTGTATGAAATATTTTTGTATATATGAGATTTTATAAATTTGTTTACAAATCTCTTTTTCAATTTAAAATCTATAGATCATAAATGGTAGTTGCCTAGTTGGCCTCATGTGTTTCAGTATAATTTGGTCGATTGGGAAGTCGTCTGTGATGCCAAGGAAGATGGGTCGAATGGGAAGTCGGCTTATCTGAGTAAACTTGGGGATGTTAGGGACC